GAATACGGTAAAACTAACAGAACGTGGAGGCTGAATCCCGCTGGGTTGACCCTGGTGAGCTTCTCCAAGCGCGGACGGCCAGTTACTGCTGAGTGAGGCATTTATCAAAAACAGCAGAAACAGCTCTTTCCTATTTTGCCTGTGAAAAACGAGCCTCCTGTGGTCAGCGCACCTCTGTGTTGCTGGTGATTTACTGGGAACCTCACTGCACAGAGTTCTGTTACATCCAGACTGGAGGGAAGGAGGAGGCAGCCCAGCAACTGGCAGCTGTGATAGGAACCAGATGTTGGGAGCTGGGAACGCTGGCTACAGAGACTGAGTCTGGAAGAGAACTGTTTTCTCTCACACACTCACAACAAGAACAAGCAATGGCCTGGCTACCGCCTCTCGCTCTCTTCTTCCCGCTTTCTCTCTCATTCGTTTTCTTTCTTTTGGTCTCTTTTTCTCTCTCTCTTGTTCTCTTCTGTCTCTCTAGCTCACGTTCTCACTTTCTCCCTCATTCTCACTTGCGCTCTCTCATTCTTTCTCTTTTCCCATCTCCCTGTTGGTTTGTTTCTAAGTATCTGTCTCCTGTCGACACTCTCTCATTCTCTATCATTCTTTTTCATATTCTCTTGTCACTCTTTCTCTATCTCTAGCTCAAACTCTGTCTCTCTCTAAATATATCTCCCTCTCTGCCTCTCCTTATCTCTCCCTCATTCCATTTCCCTTCCTCTCTCGTTCACACTCCTCAGTTGAAGTTATTTCCAATTGAACCCCTACCCGAACTCCCTCCCCCTCAACCCCGAACCCCCGCAAGACCAAATGCTAGGAGAGACATCCTTCCCATTGATGTCAGATGCTTGCTGTTGGCTGTTGGCCAGTGACCTCCCCACATCACCCTGTATTTATTCTGAATGAAGGGAAAAATGATAACACTCTCGTCCTTAACCACTTCAGTGCCGGCCTTTCTGCCAGAATTTTCAATAACCATCACATGAAAGACATTAATATATGAAACCCTCTGCAGCGAACGCTCACTAAACCCCACCTCAGTGAGGAAGGAGGAAACTTGACTTCAGTTCTCCCAACATGGAAGGCACTGCATCAAATTCAAGCATTATTATTATTATTACTATAACTCCGACCTCTCAGGAATTGCAGGAATCATTGGGGTGATTCCAGGCCCAGAGATTGGAGCATTAGCCACCATCAGTCACTGCAGGTTTAAACTGTCCAAAATCCCTGGGAGGAAAGTGAACTGGCCAGTAGCACTGGAGGCCACTGAGCTCTGTGTTTGCTTTGGACGTGATCATGTGAACCATTTGCATGAGGTTCCGCTATTTCATTTGGAGACAATGGAAAGGCAAACCCGCCTCATCACCTAAACAATAGCGAAACAACAGCGGCCCAGCCTCCCCCTGCAGCCCCTCCACATCCTCTCCCTTGGAAAAATCTCCACTAATCTGCAGGAGGAATAGTGCCCGTGACGGAGGTTATCTGATGGGAAAAGACAGGAAGGTTACTGGGGATACTCAGGCTATACCAGAATCTCAACACACGTCCACTTCCTGTTCACAGCGCGCGAGTAAAATGTCAGCTACGCTTCCTGCGTATACACAGCACACAGGAAATAATGTCAGCATCACTTCCTGCCCATACACAGCACATGGGAAGTCATAACACTGGCACTTCCTGCACATACACAGGGCAGAGGAAGTGAAGTCAGCGGCACTTCCTACCAAAGCAATGACCTGAAGTGCTGATTGACGATTTTTTTTTCTTTTCCCCATTATAACACAGCACCTGAGTTTATGGACTGCAGTCTTCGTGTTATTAATAGGTTCAGACTGAACAAGAGTAGTGACTGTGTATTTGTAGGCAAATATGGCAGCCATTTGTACAAACCAAACTCCACAAATAGCCATTTTATTGTCGGTCAGGACACTGGGCGAAACTCTGCACTTTTTTCTCCCAAAGTAACTCTGCAGGATGTTTACCGTCCACCTGAACAGGGCACAGATGGGGAGCTTGGTTTAACCTTTCATCCGAAGGACTCTGACAATGTAACGTTACCCCAGCACTTGCTCTGGAGCGTGAGCCTAGACTGTGAGCTCAAGGTCCTGATAATTTAGCAGCTACATTGGGAGAGAGATGTGAACGAGAGACCAGGGAAGAGAGCAGGGACAACAGGGTGCCTGGGGGGAGGGGGTAGCTCAGTAGAAAGCTTTACCACGAGAGGAATTTTTGAAAACCATGGACAAAACCAATCTGAGAAACTGCCGACTGTGGAAAATCATTCTGGAAATAAAAACAAGGGGAAAATAAATAGAGTCTGACTTGGGTCAAAGATTTATTTGTTTTTGTATTTGTAGCAGTGAGTCAGTGCGAGGAATCTTCAGACCGGCCTCGCGGACACACCAGGACCTTAATTATTATCTTGCGGGATCTGAGGAGCCCACGAGGGAAGACACTTGGAGTTTACTGGGAGGAATTTTCCATGACGTTTTTTTTAAGGCTGAAAGTATTTGGGCACCGGGACAAACACATCGTCTGCCCCAGCCTCGCTGCTGAACTCGGCACAGAATCCACACATTCCCTCTTCAACCCCACACCCTCCCCGTCCAGCATTCTGTGTGGAAACTTAAGAGATTCACACTCGCCCTCCAACCACCCACCAGGATATCGTCAGAGGGAGCAAGTGCTGCGCACACTCACTAACACAGACACCCTCACATACACAAAGATACACCCGCAGATGCATGCTCACACACACACTCACTCACATACTCACTCACTCACTCACACACAATCTCTCAATCTCAGGCTCTCGTGTTCTGGGAAGTTGTCAGTTGAAGGGACCAGACTGACTTCTGAGAAGGTGAAAGTTTTGATTGATAAAAAAGAATAATTTCTGGTGGCTGCTCTGTGTTCCTGACACCAAAACCCACAGCTTTGCCCATTTAGCTTCAGCCTCTGAAGGTTGGGGAGAAACCACCACAGGTTGATGGTGGGAATGTCAGTGTCAGGGGTTTACAGTTGACCACAACACAGCACCTCGCTCGTTCCCAGCACACATTCCCAGTCGAGGATCAGTAAATCATACACGGGACACACGGTGCACATGGTACACACACGCTACACACGGTTTACACACACAATGAAATTCATCCAATCTCTGACCAACACAGGAAAGGAACTGACTTCAATGAAGCGTCTTCATAACCACAAACGGTTGGTAAAAGGGAAGAGTTCAAGTAAGTACAGAGTAAACGCAGAACCAAACTCTGTGATTGGTGAGGTTACAAGCTGGGGGAGAGAGTGAGAGACAGAGAGAGACACAGAGAGAGTGGGAGAGAGAGTGAGTGAATGAGTGGGAGGCAATTTTAGGACAGACACCATGAAGTCTTTGAGGAAAACTAACACAGGGGTGACAGGGAGCCAACAAGGATCTGCGGCTTTGGCAGTTAGAATCTGGGTGAAAGGCGATTTTTATGTTAATAATAAAAATCCTCGCATTTGAATACGGCATCTTATCACCTCGTGGAGACATCGCAAAGCCCTTCACTGTAAAGCATAGTGACTGTGTTGTTACAGGCCAAATAAGCTGAAAAAAAGTGTGGAACCAATTTCTCCTCACGGTTTGCTAGAGGGAATCTGGTTCACACAGTTTTGTGGGATGGAGTGAAGGAGCGAAGAAGGGAGGGATGGAGGGAGTGAGCGAGCACAAACTTTTCATCCTCTTTAGCGCACAGAGCAGAGCCCAGGGAGTTTTTTTTTACAATTCTCCGTTAATTTGCTTGCTCGCTCAGCCCTTTGCAGATGCAGAAAATGAAAATATTACTGAGAAAAATAAGAGATTTTGTGGCTTTTTTTCTTGTCTCAAGACAATATCTGCAGATCTTTCACCACATTCTGTGCCTTCGAGCTAGAACTCGGTGATGATCGAGCTTGCTACGCGCGAAAAAAAAACTCCCTAGATGTACATCTGTACCCTCAAAAGGTGACTCACTTTTGATTTTAGGCTGAATTTCCACAAAGTCTTTTACCCTCGGGTGGGGGGAGAGGGGGCTGGGTGGCTCTGCAGATGTCTCGCTTGACAAATAAACCGTTTCTCTCCCCCCACCACCCCATTGCTTCATTGGAATGCTTCAAAGTAAAGTGTAGTGACTGTGCATTTGTTGGCCTCCCACTTGTTGGGCTCAGGCTTGTGTCACAGGTTAAGGTAAAGGCCTGGGCATAGGCTTTCATTATATCTTTCCCAGTTTTAAGTTAGGTCTCACTCTCTCTTGGTCTCAGTCACCAAACTTTGCTTATGTACATACATCCACCGAAACATGGTACCTGCCCCCTTTTCTCGGGGCCCAACTTCTACCATTACTAAATAAGGCCACCCCACCCACACTGCGCCCTCATATATGTCAACCCGGGTGGGGGGGGGGGTGGTTGTGGGAACCAGAGCTGAGGAGCCAAAGCTCAGGCAATGACCAACTCCAGCCTGAAACACAACAAAAGGTTCTTCCCTGAAGGGAGAGAGAATCTGGTGAAGCTCTGTGTCTGTGGAGCATTCCTGGTGAGTGGAGTCAGTGACAGGGAGTGAGCAATGACTTGGAGCCTGTGAATGAGCTGTGAACAATCAGACATATTTGTGAATTGGAATTTCTTCTGTTGAAGCCTTCCTACAATTCCCATTCACAAATTTGTGTCATACCACAGGAAGCCGATGATATCATCACTTCCCCATCTCGCATCCCTTTATTGGTGACACTCCGAACTGCTTGTTCGTGCCATTGAAGGGGTTGGGTGGGGTGGGGGGGGGTGAAGAGAGAAGTGGGGTGGGAAGAGAAAGAGAGGACATCTCTAATTCAGGATTTCCAAATATCAGAATCCTGACTGAAGCAGGTGTGTGTTACCGGCGTTTATACAGTGTCTCAGAGTGCTTAACAGTCAGGGAGCTTGAAACTGTGTCAATCCAACAGAGCAAAACAAACAGGAGTATGCAAGAATCCAGGTTTAGGAATAAGCCTTTTTTTTTTGCTTTATTGAAACAATTCTGAATAAACTTTTATATAAAAAACACACTTTTTTTGTACAAAGTCATGGAGTTTCCTCTGACCGAGGTTTGGAGACACTGTCAGTTTGATCCTAGCCTCCCACGTTAGGCCGTAGAGAGCAGAGATTTGGGCCAGAGCTGTAGAGGTAGATAGCAACTTATTTTAATGGATGGACAATCCTTCAAAAACAAATTTGGCTTTTTCTTTTTGGTCAGCTGGGTGTCTGACACAGACAGAAACCAATCTCAGTGCCTGAGAGTCTCCAAACCAGATTGGGAGATCCACATGCTCACATGCCACCTACATACGGACATCTCCCATGTCTGGGATGGAGTACGCACATTCTCTCCCCCGCTCTCCTTTCACAATCTCCTTCCCTGGAGGGACGCACCCTGGTTGCCTGATTCCAGACGGAGAGTGTTAGGTACATGTCGGCGAGAGCCAAGGCTTTGGGGTTGGGGAAAGGAGAAAGGAGACTCCAATGGCAGTTTTAAGTCTTAAAAAAAGAATAAGTCAAATTTCACAGCTCATTTCTTTTTACAAAGCAGTTTTCACAATGTAACTACAGTAAGGAATAAGGCTACAGTATATAAAATATTTCCAGCAACCTTGATGTGCCAGCATCAGCAACTAACATTTATACCAATCTGTTTGAACGAGGCCGCTACATCTCTAAGCTACTTCAGATTACAAAATAAAAGCACCAGCTTTCCTCTCGCGGTTTTTGGTATTTATTTCCCCCCCGATCATTTTAAAAAATATAAATTATTTCCGTCAAAAAAAGGCGTAAAAAATGTCAATGAACAAAAATACAATAAAATCATCTTCGTTTTAGTTTCAGTAACTAATATTCTTAATTAGACTTTGAAAAAACAACCTGCAGCAATAAACATTTGTATGTTTTAGATATCAAAACCGTTGAGGCAGTTTTTGGAAAAAGGAACAGCATAATGGAATGTACGTATTGCTGGTCTCCACTGGTCGCATCCACAGGAGGTTTGAGGCCTCACACAGCGCTGTGTTGGATAATAATAATCCTCGCATTTGATACAGCGCCTTAGCACATCATTGAGACATCACAAAGAGCTTCACAGAATATACTGTAAAGTGAATTGACTGTATATTTTGTGGGCGAAAGGCGGCAGCCAATTGTGCACAACAGCATTCCCACAAGTCTCACTCACCAATGATACACACAATGTCTTGCTGCTGTGTTGACTTTGCAAAGTTTTGATGGACTCAAATTTGACTGTTGAGTTTGCCTACAAAAAAAGTCACTTCACTCGAGTAACTGGCTGGGAGCCTCAGGCGCACTGAGAGCTGATTATTGCCTCAGCGTACATGCGGGGTTATCCCATTGCCGATGTGACCAGTGTCCGATAGACGAGATGATGAGTTAGATCAGCAACAGAAGCTGTGTTACACAACCTGTTGGCTCAGCCAAACGTCTGCAGAGTAAAGATGGCCGACAGCGACCCCCACCACTTCTTATCCGGTGACCAAACCGGTGAAGCCTCTTTATTCAGTAGTGAGGCCAATTCAAGCCACCATTCAACCTCCCCCACTTCCCCTCAACAACCAACAATGCTTCATCCCAACAACAGGACAGTTCCTCTCTCCCTCCCTCGGCCTCAGCTCCCCCATAGGTTGGAGTGTGTACAGTATCCTGCCATGTCAGGATGTGGCCTAGTGGGCACAGACTGATTACACACCAGGCAGACGTCAATCCATTTATGACTGACAAGTGACAGAGTAAAGCTCTGCCGTTCATTCATTCCCCTGGTAACCTGAGGCTCACACGTCCAATGAACACAGGTCAATGGCCGAGATTTATTTCTCTTGAATCTCCACCCCTTCCCCAACCCACCAACCCTCACCCACCATGGCTTCATCATCTCTCCATCTGCTTCATCCACAAAGGAAACAAACACATTCCCCAAAAAATCAGATTGCAAACCGACGAGCCAAACAATCCTGAAACGCAATCGCCGGGGTCTGCAAATCAATCAATCAATGAATCACCAAAACCTTGCACTTATCTTAAACCCCAAACAGGTCAATGCCATTCCCACTCTCCAACTCCATCTCTGGAATCCTGACATTCTGACAGAACAGTTGCTTTGAGGCCATCAGTGAACACACGTCATCAAATCACAGCTGGTAAGATTGAGGCATTAATACTGAGAGAGAGAGGCAGAGAGAGAGAAAGAGACCACCAGTAGCATGAGCTTACAGAGCAATATTGGCAAAACAAGTAAACAACAGCACATCTCAGTCAGTCCATCCAGCTGGGACAGAGCAGGCAGCTATGGCCAGGGACCTCGCCACTTTGAGGGGCAGGGGGAGAGGTTGGGGACAATGGGTGTCCATGTGGGCAGTGCCACCTCTTCCTGTCTCATTGCAAACATTCATCAAATTCATCCATCACAGCAGGTCTTCAAGGTCAATCGGTGGGCAGGTCAGTCACTGGGTGAACCATGCAGGCAATGGTTTGCGGGGAGGAGGAAAAAAAAAATATCATTAAAGACAATAAAGAGAGATAGAGGGACGTGGGGAAGGGGAGAGAGAGAGAGGGAGAGATAGAGATCTGTATGGAACCTGATTGGGTTTTGCCTTGTTGGAGAGCAGTTAGTTTTGCTCTCACGAGGTCTTCGCTACAAACAGAAAAGGAGCTCAAGCAAACAGTGGTCATCTGTCAGTCTGTCTGTCTGTCCTCCCGCCCACCCAGGGCTGCTCCCAGGGAGCCTGGCGAGCGGGGCGATGGCTCCAGTCACTGCTACTCATCGCTGTCAGGTTTCACGTCCAACATGGCGTGGAGCTCCTCGGGCACGTACCCCAGCAGGCTCTGCAGGTCACACACAAAGCGATACACATAGCGCTTTCCCGCCGTCTTGTGGATGATGTTCTTGTCATAATAATATCGCAGGCCCCGGCTCAGCTTCTCGTAGTTCATCTTGGGCTTATTCTTCCTCTTGCCCCATCGCCTGGCCACCTGAAAACCCACAGTGCGATTATTGCCAAGGCTCGCGCTCTCCGGCAGTCACCCCCTCCCCACCCACCCTTTATAATAATCCCTCCACGCACTCGCCCCACCTTACATGTGCGCCCCCACTCCCTTCACTCAGTGGACACTGTCCCCACCCACGCAGTCGGGCTTTCCACCTAGCTGCCCCCGCTCTCTGGAACTCCATCCCGGAATCCCTCCAACTCACTCCCTCCCTCAATCCCTTTCAAGGTCCGTCTCGAGATCTTCCTTTTTGACTGCACTTTCAGTCATCTCTCCCCTCCCCCTCGACTCCACCCCCCTCCCCCCAACCTCACCCCACCACGTGTGTAATGTATTTCAACATAGAAACAGAGCCTTTCACGTTGGGAGAGCGTCTTAAAGGATTTCACAGGATTTACTATAAAGAGCAGTAATTGTGTCTCTCCTCCACTCCCCTCACTGTCATTACAGAACTATCCAACTCCCTCTCAAAACCAGCAGAGAAATAGGAAAACAGGAACGGGAGGCCATTCAGCCCAGCAAGCCTGTTCACCCAGTTTCTGGGCTGATGTTAGGATGTCGCGGGCGGGATCTCACCTCGTCAGGATCGGATAGCTTGAACTCCCAGCCGTCCCCGGTCCAGCTGATAAATGATTGACACGACTTGTCTGTCAGTAGCTCCAGCAGGAACTGCCACAGCTGTATAGGACCACTGCCTGCCAGGGAACCAGGAGAGGGTTAGCGAGTGGCACACACACTCATACACAAACAGGCACACAGACAGGCGGAGACACATACAGACAGGCAGAGACACACAGAGACACGCACACGCGTACAGAAACACAGGTGTTAACTGTTTCACTCTGCCCTCGAGAGTCTAGGAATAGAACAGTGCCACACGCTAAACATTACTAACAACAATGGACGTAGTGTGCTCACAGGCACGCTGAAGGAAAATATCCCCCCACCCCACCATCCCGCATGCCCCCCACATCAGGGACTCTGAGCTCACAGTCCAGGCTGACGCTCCAGGTAGCGCTGGGGGGGAAGAGAGAGAGAGAGCACTGCATTGTCGGAGGCGCTGTCCTCCAGAGGAGATGGTAAGTTAAACCTCACTCCCCATCTGTGCCCTGTTCTACAAGACATTCAAACAGGGAAGAGAGTTTATCTTTCTTTCTCGTTCACGGTGTCCCGGCCAACAATCCCCCAAATACAATCCCTCGTTCACTTCATGATGGTTTGCTGAACGTCGCTAGGTGCCAATTGGCTGTCGTGGTCACTCGCAAAACACACAGTCACTACATTTGCCAGCAATTCCCTGTGAAGCGCTGCGAGATGTTTTGAGGTTAAAGACCCCGCATCAAATGCAAGGATTATTATTGCAACAAGACTTAAGACTTAAGTGTTAAAGGTCACAAAGCATGAGTAAAGTCAGATATTTTTTTGTGGGGGGGGGGACGGCGGAGAGAGTGGGATGGGGGTGCACCTGCTCAATACAAAGCACGAGTGCGTGGGCATTGCTTTCTGCAGCTCTCACTGGGGTTGCGCGGAGCCCGTTGGCCTAGTTTTACATATGTTCAGTCTGAGAACAGTCTGTATGCCAACCGCAAACTACCGTGTTTCGGGGGGGGGGGGGGGGGAGGGGGAGGGGAGACAGAGTGAGAGCAAGAGAGAGAGAGGAGACTGGGTGGTCTTTGATTTAGTAAACCAAAAGTTTTAACTTCAAAACACATTCACATAAAAGACCCCGAGGAGGTAAAGTGGCCCCAAAAATAACATGTTTAAAACCGTCAACACATCCACAGCGAGAGGCGTAGAGTGAGAGAGAGAAAGGGGTGGGGAGGGGAAGTGGAGAGACAGCTCAGAATGAACAACTTTACTCAGAGACAACAAAGTTGGGGGAATGGACGAGCCAAGCGCCTGGCCCCCACCTTCCCAGGAGCCCCAAGGTTCAGATATGATTCAAGATCAGAGGTTCAACAATGGACCTAACTTGAGTTAGTCTATGGGGGGTGGGGAAGAGAAGGGGAGAAAGAAATCACCATGAATTTCACCCTTAGATTTAGAGGAATGTTAGCCAGGGAGGGGCAGAGGTACCAAACTATGGTGTTTGCTTCACCTCCACATATCAGAGGGAGAGAGCGAGCGAGAACGAGCATAGACTGCGAGATGGTATCAGGGTGTGCGTCTCCACAAACTGACCCAGTTCTGTTGATGGGAGAGGTTCTCATGTCAACCAACGGAGACTAAAAATAAAGGGTTCCATTTAGGAGCGAGTGTTGTGTTGTGTACAAGGGTCTGTGTATCCACAACATAGACCTGGACACAGAGAGGTGAGCAGGTGGGCACCTCACTCACTGAGCCCTGGAACAGTCCATAGGAACAGCCTAACACACAGACCCGTCTCCTCTGCGCTTTAATCTTTCAGTTTCATCTTTGCGCTAAACCACCAACGATCAACAACAAGCAAACTGATCCGAGGTGCGTTAACCCTTTGGTGGTTGTTCACAGACATCTCCAGTTAACCCACAAGGTCAGATCAGTGTCTCAGTCAGCAGAGGCAGAGGGTGTCTGTCACTATCACATCACCAATATTTAAACAATGGCTTTAATAGAAAGGGACCAAGTACTGGATATAGAGTGCAACACAAACATCACCATATCATTACAGTTTGAGGTCACACAACAGGCACAGGAAAGCAGTTTTTTTTAATTGATATATAAAGTGTCTTGTCAAAACATTCAAAACGTTTCTCAAGACGCCACAGTCAACCATGTTTTATGGAAACATATATGGAATGTCTCAGAAACAGCCACGTGGTGAAGGATCAAGTCACCTGGGGGAATGGCAAGCCAGGGCATCGGGTGAAACTCCCTTAACTTTTCCCCAATAATGTCTGTCTGATTTCAGGACTTGCTCAATGTTCAGAATGTTGAGCTTACGCCACAAACGTGTGATTCAGGTCAAGGAGGCTGCCACTCGCTTGAGCTCCTGAGCACCATAGGAACAGGAGGAGACCATTCAGCCCCTCGAGCCTGTCCCACCATTCCTTTTAAATCTTAAGCTAATCTGTACCTCAACTACAATTATCAACAGGTCAACTCAAGCTGTCAATCCAACCCACATTCCTACCCATTCATCTCTACATTCAACATCCAGGGCCTCAACACATCGTTGAGACGTCTCAAAGCGCTTCACAGGATATACTGTAAAGTGCAGTGACTGTGTATTTTGTGTGCGAAACATAGCAGCCAATTAATGCACAGCAGTGTCCCACAAACAGCCATGGAGCGAGGGAGTAACCAATTTTATTTGGGGGATTGTCAGCCAGGACACCGGTAGCGAGAGAGAAAAACTCCCTTCTCTTTTCGAATCGTACCATGGGATCTTTAACGTCCACCTGCGCAGGCAGATGGGACTACGTTTTAACGTCTCTCTCTCTGTATGACAGCACTTCTGATGAGCCATATAGGGCTCTCCAGGTAAGAGAGCGTCTTGGAGTTGATATCTACCCACTTCCAGCCATTGCTGATAGACTCCAGCCCCGGGATCTTACCTGTATAACCGGCGAGGGCTGCAGCTGGGATGACAGGCTTGTCCTTGCTCAGGTCGGCTCGCTCTCGCACGTAATCCTTGAAGGTGCCTTTGAGCTTGTGGCCGGTCAGTCTGGAGTAGTCATCCGAATCCATCCGGTCGTAGGTGGTGGGGACGCACTGCAGGTTACTGAACGAGGACTGGCTGCCCCAGGACTGCGGCAGCCGCTCACAGCTCTCAAAGCTGTCCACGCTCTCAAAAGAGTCCTGTCCACCCAGTTTTCCTGAGCGCAGAGCAGAGGATCATTGGAGAGTCCGCACCTACAAAGCCCCCCGCCCCCATCCCCCCCATCCAGCTATCCCCCCCACACCACTATGCGCTCCACTCGCCTGTCTCTTTGCCCCCTCCCCCCCAACACACCCAGCTCTCCCCAGGTTGCTACTTTTGCTTAAGGAAACCGTCACTACACCTGATAGTAACTACACAAGCACAGGGCTGGTCAGGGTTTCTGAGCTCAGGTTAAGCGAGTCTCTCGCTAAAACCTGGGGACATTCCAGATCTCGATATAAATCAGCCGCACCATTTGCAACCGGGGGATTCCTGCTCGTGCTGGAGTTAAACTTTCGAATCGTGCGAGGGAGGGAGTGACCCCATACACACAGTGAGCACTCACCGCAACAGTCAGCTAGCTCAATAGCCCCCCCACCACTTTAATTGCAATGGGTAGAGTGGGGTATTGAGGAGGACAAGTTTGCAGAACTATAGGGAGAGACTGGGGGAGTGGGATTGATTTGGAAGCTCTTTTCAAAGAGCCGGCACAGACATGATGGGCCGAATGGCCTCCTTCTGTGCTGTATAATTCTATGATTCTATAAATACACCAGCTCTGACCCTGAGACACACTCCTCAACCCTGGGTATGACTCCAACCCTAACCCAGGCACGCACCCACCCACCAATACACACACACACTGCGGAGTCACAGTGTATCCCCCAATTCCCCACCTACTCAGTTCCTAACCTCCACCCCCCCCCCCTTCTTCCCAGGAGTCACAGTGTAACATCCCCCCCACCCCCGGAATAATAGGGAACCTACCTCGGCTGATGCGCCCCACACACATGTTGTCCGGGGACACCACTTCCTGCTTGTAATAGTCCAGCTGTAACGTGTCTAGTGAGGCATCACGTGTGATCATCCCTGTGTAATCTGGCTCGTACTTGACGTTGAGCAGCTCTTCGGAGCTGATGGGGTGCAGCGTGTGGTAACTCTCTGTGATCAATCCTGACTCCGAGTACTCCGAGGGTGGGACGCACTGAGCGTGCTCTACTCCATAACCTGTGGAGAGACAGCAACTGGGAATCATTCCCAATCAAGCATCCCAAACACCAGCGATCGGATAAGGCACTGTATAAAATGCAGGGATTATTATTGCTATTGTTACCTAAGGAATACATGGTGAAGAAGCTGCTGTCAGAGTAATCGGTGACCAGGCCATTCACAACCACCGGCTTCACGTCCTCCATACATTCTGCGGGTTTGAGAGACACCGAGTTAGTAACAAGCCCTCGGTTCAGCGCGGACACACACGGCAGCCAAACACAGCCAGCACTGCCCACCCCCACAGCCCAGCACAGTCACACCAGCACAACAGGGAGCTGTGAGCAAAGTGGACGCTTATAGCCCTAGCTGTCCCAGGCAAGAAGGAAGTATTCATCCAGTCCATCGTGTCTATGTCGCTCCCTCAAGAGCAATCCTTCAGTCCTATTTCCCTGCCTTTCTGTCCCCTCCACACACCCCTGCAGTTTACTCCTTTTTAGGGTATTTGTCTAGTTTCCTCTTAAAGCCAATACAGATTCTGCCTCAACAACTGATCTGGCTGTCAGTGAGGTGTGGGGTCCCTGGGTGTCAGTGAGGCGGGGGGGAGGGGCTGTGTGTCAGTGAAGCGGTGGGGGGGGGGGGTGGGGGGGGGCGGTGTCTGGGTGTCAGTGAGGTGGGGGAGTGCCTGGGTGTCAGTGAGGTGGGGGGGTTTCCCTGGGTATCAGTGAGGTGGGGGTGGTTCCCTGGGTGTCAGTGAGGGAGGGTGTTCCCTGGGTGTCAGTGTGGGGGGTGTGGGGGGACCCTGGGTGTCAGTGTGGGGGGGGCGGGGGTCCCTGGGTGTCAGTGTGGTGGAGTGGTCCCTGCCTACCTACCTTTCTGAAGCTGCTCGAGATGTTCCCACAGGATGTCGCCCACGAAGTCGGGAGCGAGCTCCAGGAAGCAGTCCCTGCCCAAGGCACACAGCGTGGCTCCACTCATCTGGAACTGGTGAAAATCCACGTTCTTCAGGCTGAATTCATTCACTGCCCACAGGAGCCAGTCCGTCACGTTCATCTCCGTCCACTGCTGGGGATCTGGGGGGAGGGGGAGAGCACATAGGGCTATAGTACATAGGTATTTCGGACCATAACGTGCAGGCGACTGGCAGGAAGATGGAAGGCAAATTAGATGGACCTTGGTCTTTTTTCATCGAGCATTTATGTTCTTATTGGGGGGGAAGGGGGTCACAATAAGGAGATCCAGACATTACTGGGGGGGTTACAGATAGCAGCAAAGTGGCTCGTCAGCGCAGCAGGAACAGCGAGCCTCTGTGGCCAGGTTGAATGTGGATGGCTGTACCTTTGGGGATTCCCAGTCGCTGCTGCTCTCTGGTGAAGTCGCTGAAGGTGGCCTTGAGGGCCTGGGACATCATCTTATTGCTGCTGGGAGTCAGTAACGGGATATCTCCGCACTCCGCATCTGCCAGAGAGAGCAAGGGGAAACCCAGTTTACTAACCAGCCTGCACCTCTCACACTCCCCCACACACCCCTAGCCCCCACCTCCCCATTAATACACAAAGCCCGTAAGGGAAAAATGTACAATGACGCAACAGGGGAAGTGGGAGACATGATAAGAGAGAGACAGAGAGAGTGGTCCTCAGTGATCAGTGGCCCCATCACTCGGGGGTGATGGGTATGGAATACTATAGCCCCAGCATGAGGCCGACCCCTGCCTGCTAATGATCGGACAGACCGGGGGGTGGGGGGCATGGCCAGGACACAGAGAGAGAGAGAGAGAGAGATAGAAACTCGCTTCTCCTTTTCAATAGCGCGCGGGATATTGCTCAACATTCCTTCCATTGCCTCCGTCCCCTCACTCTGTCTCCCCCCCGACTGACTGACGGATGGACTCTCCACGAGTCTGGAATTCAGATTTTTTTAAAAAAAATGAAAATGTCGAGCTTTTACTGAACAGCAAAAATAACGAACTGTTTGATTTTACTCCACCCCAAACCCCAGGGGCTGGAGTTACAGTCACACACACGCAAAGAATCACCCCCAAATAAAAATCCTCATTCATTTCGTGGCTCTTTGTGCGACATCGCTGTGCGCAAACTGGCTGCCGTGTTTGTCCACAAAATACACAGTCACTACACTCGACAGCAGCTGTAAAGTGTGCGAGACACTTTGACGCTGTAACAGAAGTGAGGATTCCTCTGCCCAGAGCTTTCCGAGCCAGAGTCTTATCTGGGGGGGGGGGGGGAATTTAAAGGCCCCACCCAGCTCTCACCCTCTCAGCAATGGAGGGGATGGATTTTGATGCTGTAACTCATTTTAGACTAAAATATTTTATAAGTGGGATGTGAAACAAATAATTTGGTCATATTACTCCCCGCCAACCCCCCCCACCCCACCAACCATCACCCAGCACACACACCCACACCACACCCCATGCAGACACACACACTGGGTTAAAGGATTATTGTGCATCCCAGGCAAGCTATGTCCTAAGCGAGCATTGTCTCTTCCCAAAATGCTACCAAACCTCCTGCTAAACACAGCACAGTGTCTCCAATGTAGAGCTGGGAAGGGGGTGAGAGAGACAGTGTGCAAACCAGGCGGACTGGCAGCTTCCAAGTGACCCTAGCTGTCAGGCTGGGGTCAGCCTCCGACACAGAGCAGGCTCTGTCCCCCCCTCCACCTCTCACATCCCCACAACCCCCCTCCCTTCCCCAAGACAGCACAGGCAGCAGTGGTTGCTGGTGTCCTCAATTAATTGGGATCAAAGGGCCACTTGTACATCAATGCCCAGAGTCGTGGCTGATGTGCGGAGGCGCAGGGCACTGAGTGAGGCTATTGTCCTCTCTCAGTCACTCAATCGCTTCATAGTATTGCATGTGTCACAGCAGCTGCCCCACCCGCACCGCCCCACCACCCAGACAGAACTATAATTAGCTCCCCATCTCTGTACAGCTCTACTCAGTCACCTCCCTCCCATTCCATATCCCTTCCCAGCCTCAGTCGCCACCTTCAGCAGCAGGAAGGATATCGGAGGGTAAGTCACTCATCCCTCAGATAAAATGAGTCACTCGCTCCATGGCTGTTTGTGGGGTGTTGCTGTGTACAAACCGGCCGCCTTATTTCACCTACAAAACACGGTCACTGCACTTCACAGCGTGTCCTGTCAAGCACTTTGAGACGTCACGACGACCTGATTAAGGCAAATGTAAGGATGATTGATGATCATTGCTGAGAAGCAGATTAATACTGACTGCTGTGCACACCATGAAGGGGTCCTGGCTCCCTGAGGCACAGCAACGAGGCTGATCCCGGAGTCAGAGTGGTGAACTAGGAGCAACACCGAGTCAGAAAGAACCTTCTAGAGATACACAAGTTGATGAATTAAGCCCAGGACAATGCTCTCTGATAGGCCAGGACAAGGACAGGAAGACACAGAGCTAAGGTGTGAGGCCAGACACCAGGAGGTGTTTCTCCATTTACTGAGGGGCAATTAACAGCTGGAACATGGTCAACAAGGGATGTGTCAAATACAAGATTATGACCATTAACTAACTAACTAATTAACTAACTTGTGAAAGATAACAGAGAGGAGACAGTAACCACAGAAGCAGATCGAGGTGAGGAGGTTGTGTTACTGTTTGGAGTCCTTACCCCCACCGCGCCCCCCCTCTCTCTCTCCCCAGCGGGCAGGGGCAATGGCAGCACCTTACACCCACACGCCCCAACCGCAAAGGCAAGAGTTGTTTTCTGGCTTGCAAGGGTCTTGGTGCCTCCCATACCTCAACAGAGGAGTTTCAAACGATTGCAAACGAGAGAGAGTGAGAGGTGAGTGCAACTGATCCACTGCCTATGTCATTGCCACCGAACAGACCAAACCAACACAACACCACCTTGTATTGTAAAACAAATACCGCTCACACGGAGAGGGGCTTCAGACAAACCAGAAAACCTTCCAGAAAACCTTTGGGAAAATCTTTTGAAGCTCGACTCGGAGTGAGCGAGAGAGAGAACAACGCACTTGTATAGTGCCCCTCACACAGGGTAGCGTCCTCGAGCGCTTAATACAGAGAGAGTGAGAAAGAGAGAGAGAGTAAGAGAGGATAAGGAGAGATGAGATCTGCAGTTGAAAAGCGAGACAGACAGCAAATCCCAACACCCAAACCCCCTCCCCAACACCGTCTCCCCATCGGTTTATTTGAAGGGATTAGCTTCAGTTTTAATGAACTTGTGAACTTGTGGATGAGGATTTACTCACACCCACTCTCAGGAAACTGTTTACTTTAAACCAATCCCTTTAAACTCTTTTGTATATTCTGTGAACAGGTTGCGTCATGTAACTTGTGGAGCGCTTTCATCCCTGGACTACCACCATCTTCCAGGGTTGAGCAGAGGTGCAGAAAGACTAGGGACACAGAGTAAAAAGCCTCTTCCCCTCCCCCCACCCCCCAACAAATCCAGCAGCATCCCATCCCCAGACAGGAGATGGTGTTGGGGGTGGGGGTGGGACTATAAAGTGCAATTGGCTTCCGAATACAACAACAACAACAAGATTTCATTTATAGAGCGCCTTTCACGTTGGTCCCAAGGCGCTGGACAGTTGGGTCAGGACCCAAGCAGGGGGGAAAATGGTCGAGGGGAGGGAACGGAGGGAGCAAAGAAGGGGTAGAGAGTCGAGAGGGGAGCTGAAAGGAATACACTACATTCCTAGAGAAAAACAATAAAAATGTAATATAATAATCCTTGTAAATTGATCCAGTGCCCATTACCAGCCAGAGAAAAAATCTCCAATGGCCTGACAGGGGATTGCTGGATAGGAATTGCTTAGACGCAAAATAGACCAAAATCCATCTAGTTCACCTTCTACCATCCTGGTCATCGTTTGCTACAGTAATGGAGATGTTGATAGCAACTAACTGTGTCTGGTTTAGTCTACAGCAGGTGGGAAGCTTTGGGAACCTTAGATCCCAAGTTTCCTGGTTCTTCCCAAGCCATACTACACTGCACTTACTACATTGTTTATAGGGAGCAGAGACGGAGGGAGTGGTTGAACGAAATTGAGATGGCTTTTGGGAAGAGGAGGGATTGAGAGGACGGGGCAAGAAGATTGCTGAGATGGGCAGGCGGGGCTGATCGGATCCTAAACTGTTCCTCCATCTACAAGAGACGTTCAAGTCAATGTCCTGTAGAAATCTGATCTCAAACCAATAACAAGCTGTTACTTAATTGTGCCCAGGGTCCAACCCTCCAGCAGGCTTCCAGGTAACCCAGCTCCAGCAGTTAGCTTAGACTATAAGAGTTCCAAAGCCTGATGTGGTGGCTTCAACCTACAACCTTCTGACACAGAGAAAATAATGTGACCGACTGAGCCAGGCTGACACACTGTAATGCAATCCTTAGCCTTGACACAGTGCCTGTCATGTCAAGATGATATCCTAAAGTACTTCCCAGGTTTTACACTGCATTGTAAAGGAGGAATGACACTTTCTCTAAACTAAACTTGTCCTTCACATCCCTGAACCTGCAGCCCCTCAGCAGACTGCCTCAGTGTCTCTCAGGGTCTTGTTCACTTTCTCAGTTAGAGCCTTACAAACCTCAACCTCGCAGCTTTGTCTTCTCCCCCTTGGAGAAGTCATTTTTCGAGGCTGACGAGCCCCAACTTATCCAATCGTTCCTCATTGCTGATCCTTCTGACACAGTGAACACTAACTAGCTGCAGGCTTCTGTGCTGTTGACTAGGGCCAGGACAACCAAGTGCTCATTTGTCTAGAGATAAGAGAGGATCCAGGGACACAGGAAGCAACCAAAACGTGTCATGTCATACACACAGCATCTGAAAGGTGTTGATGGGATAGCACTGGCCAGTGCTCATAAACATTTAACCAAAATACAAACCTTCCTCTTTCAGACACCGACCAGGCTGGGTCGCCATCGGCAATTTCAGCCCTTAATCCCACGGAAGAAACGTTCTTCACTGACAGATTCACAGCCCTAATCTCAGCGACCGATCCACAGTTGGCCCTCACCAACACTATGAGTGAAGCAAGGTCCAACTGTCCCTCTGGGGAGAGAATGCGCTCTCCATTCCAGACATTTGCACAGCGCCTTTCACATCGGGAGGATGTGAATAGTGCTGTCTGGACACCTGTGGTGGGGGAGGGAGCTGAGGTGGGGGGAAAAAGATGACCAAAAGCATGGTCAAAGACGCAGCTCTTGAGACCGACCTTGAACGAGGCGAGGGAGAGAGAAACAGAAAGTTGTGTACATGTTGATCTACAAACTTCCAACAGTGGCCTGGTTTGGAAACTACGAAGCGCGCTGATGGGCGCTTTCCGCGTGTGTCCGGCTCCAGCCTAAACCAGAACAATAAGCCTGATTCAGAGTGAATGAGGCGGTGTTCCTGGCCAGGCCTCTCACACCCTCAGGCCAGACTGACCCTCGGTCACTTCATACCAAAGTCA